ACAACACCACACACCATCACACACACACACACCATCACACACACACTCCATCACACACACACACCATCACACACACACACACACACACACCACACACACACCATCACACACACACACACACACACACACACACCGTCACACAGACGCAGATACACATGTCACACAGACAAACACCATCCCCCAGGTACCAGTGAGGGGACAGTGTCTATAACTAGTCTGTCTGTCTCCAGGTACCAGTGAGGGGATGGTGTCTATAACTAGTCTGTCTGTCTCCAGGTACCAGGAGGGGAAGTGTTATAATAGTGGTGTGTCTCCAGGTACCAGTGAGGGGACGGTGTCTATAACTGGGTGTTTGTCTCCAGGTACCAGTGAGGGACGGTGTCTATACTGGGTCTGTCTGTCTCCAGGTACCAGTGAGGGGAGGGTTTTTTTGTCTATAATATGTGTCTTTTCCCCAGGTACCAGTGAGGGGACAGTGTCTATAACTAGTGTGTCTGTCTCCAGGTTACCAGTAAAGGGGACGGTTTTTGGCTATAACTGTGTGTCTGGTCTGTCCCCAAAGGTACCAGTGGGGGGGAGTGTCTATAACTAGTGTGTCTGTTCCGGGTACCAGTGAGGGGACCGTGTCTATAATTTAGTCTGTTGTCTGTCTCCAGGTCCCAGTGAGGGGAGGGTTTTTGTTAAAAACTAGTCTGTCTGTCTCCAGGTACCAGTGAGGGGACAGTGTCTATAACTAGTGTGTCTGTCTCCAGGTACCAGTGAGGGGACGGTGTCTATAACTAGTGTGTCTGTCTGTCTCCAGGTACCAGTGAGGGGACGGTGTCTATAACTAGTCTGTCTGTCTCCAGGTACCAGTGAGGGGACGGTGTCTATAACTAGTGTGTCTGTCTCCAGGTACCAGTGAGGGGACAGTGTCTATAACTAGTGTGTCTGTCTGTCTCCAGGTACCAGTGAGGGGACAGTTGTCTATAACTAGTCTGTCTGTCTCGGTACCAGTGAGGGGACGGTGCTATAACTAGTGTGTCTGCTAAAGGTCCCAGTGAGGGGACAGTGTCTATAAACTAGTGTGTCGGGTCTCCAGGTTTACCAGTGAGGGGACGGTGTCTATAACTAGTCTGTCTGTCTCCAGGTACCAGTGAGGGGACAGTGTCTATAACTAGTCTGTCTGTCTGTCTCCAGGTACCAGTGAGGGGACGGTGTCTATAACTGAAGGAGAACAGCTAAGTGTGATGGAGAGTGATAAAGGAGATGGATGGATGAGGGTTCAACGAGCCAACGGAGACGAAGGATACATCCCCTCATCCTACGACAAATTTTAGACAATAACACACACCCCAACCCCACCCCATATACAGGATAAACACGGTTTTTTAACAACACACACACACACACAACACACACACACGGACACACACACTCCCCTTTTAGCCAAGGACTTCCATTCTGTGTGTTTAAGCAGTACCATATTTTCCTCCTCTCATCACCCTCTGGTGCAAAGCATTGACCAGTAACTCCACAGTTCCACACCCTTAGTATCACTCCTGTCAACCATTAGCTGATGCTGCTGTCATTTATACACAGACATAGTGTTGTTCAACACTTCATCCTACTTCAATACCAGTAACGTTAGTGTTGTTCAACACTCCTCCTCTCCTCCTCGAAGCCGGAGAAAAGCAAAACGTGAGCAGAGAAGGAAAGAAGCGACCCCCCTCCTCATCCCCTCAATCGCAGAGCAAAAACAAAGACAAAAAACTCCAAAAATAAAAAAAACCGAAGCCAAAAAGACGCCAAACCAGAAAAAGAGACCACCCTACCGAACTCCACCTCCTCATTCCCATCACCCCTCCTCACTCTCCTCCTCTCCCTTCACCCACCTCTACTCCTCTCCTCCTCTCTCCCTCCAACCTCTACTTCCTCCTCCTCTCCCTCCTCCTCCTCTCCCTCCACCCCTACTCCCTCCTCTCCTCTCCCTCCACTCCTCTCTTCCTGTTCTTACCCAATCACAGATCATTAGTTGCCATGGCAATGTGATTGTTTTTATATTAGATGTCCACTATCGTATTTATATCAGATCTGTATGAGATTGTAATCAGCTGTATGGTGAAGCCACTATTTTTATGGACCAAGTTTTATAATGCATCCCAAATGGCACCCTATTTTCTATATAGTCGGTACTTATTTTGCTCTAAGTAGTCAAAAGTAGTGCACTATATATATATGGAATAGGTTGCCGTTTGTGACAGGGCCTTCGTTTCCATTGTAAATTGTATTTAGTGTCAGTAAGAGTTTGATGGTTACATATGTTCTCTCATCAGAAGAGTGTCTGAGTTGTGTCTTATTGGTTTGTCTGATTCTCTGACCACGTTCTGTCTGTGGTTGTAATGGTTTACTACCTGCGGTCTGGTCCAGTTTATACAGAACCTGTTTTGGTTGTGTTTCTTTGTTCTGTTCCCGACCACTGTTTCTCTCGCTCTTATCTCTTTTTGTGGTTTAACTGTCTGTGGTCATGTTCTAACCAATCAGATGGCTCTGTGGTCATGTTCTAACCAATCAAGTGGCTCTGTTCCTGACCACTGTTTCTCTCTCTCTCCTTTTGTGGTTTAACTGTCTGTGGTCATGTTCTAACCAATCAGATGGCTCTGTGGTCATGTTCTAACCAATCAAGTGGCTCTGTTCCTGACCACTGTTTCTCTCTCTCTCTTTTTGTGGACTCTTTTTTTGTGGTTCAACTGTCTGTGGTCATGTTCTAACCAATCAGATGGCTCCGTGTTCATGTTCTGACCAATCAGATGCTTCTGTGGTGGTGTTCTGAACCCTGTTATTTCTCCACTGCTGCTGTTTGATGAGCAGGGTCGTCTAACTACTCCTGGAGGACTGCTGCTGTTTCTGATGGTTTTACTTCGGTCCTGGTCCAGCCCGGGATTCAATCAAAGGCGCATTGTCGATTAGCACACCAAATTGGACTGTTAAAGGTCATTTTCACTTTAGCTGACATCCGCAGCGTTTACCATGAATGCGATCTCCACCAAGGTCAGAGAAATTGCTTTTAAAAAGGTGCATCTCCGACAGTGTCGTGGAGAAATGCGCCTTTGATTGAATCTCAGCCTCAGACTCATTCAGACCTGGGAAACCAAATCATATATCAATTACATGGAATAAATTCAGGACCAGAGCCCTAAAAGTAGTCACTATATACAGTTGAAGTCGGAAGTTTACATACACCTTAGCCAAATACATTTAAACTCAGTTTTTCACAATTCCTGACATTTAATCCTAGTATGAATTCCCTGTTTTAGGTCAGTTAGGATCACCACTTTAATAATAGTAGAGAGAATGATTTATTTCAGCTTTTATTTCTTTCATCACATTCCCAGTGGGTCAGAAGTTTACATACACTCAATGAGTATTTGGTAGCATTGCCTTTAAATTGTTTAACTTGGGTCAAACGTTTCTGGTAGCCTTCCACAAGATTCCCACAATAAGTTGGGTGAATTTTGGCCCATTCCTCCTGACAGAGCTGGTGTAACTGAGTCAGGTTTGTAGGCCTCCTTGCTCGCACACGCTTTTTCAGTTCTGCCCACACATTTTCTATAGGATTGAGGTCAGGGCTTTGTGATGGCCACTCCAATACCTTGACTTTGTTGTCCTTAAGCCATTTTGCAAAAACTTTGGAAGTATGCTTGGGGTCATTGTCCATTTGGAAGACCCATTTGCGACCAAGCTTTAACTTCCTGACTGATGTCTTTGAGATGTTGCTTCAATATATCCACATCATTTTCCTTCCTCATGATGCCATCTATTTTGTGAAGTGCACCAGTCCCTCCTGCAGCAAAGCACCCCCACAGCATGATGCTGCCACCCCCCGTGCTTCACGGTTGGGATGGTGTTCTTCGGCTTGCAAGCCACCCCCTTTTCCTCCAAACAGAACGATGGTCATTATGGCCAAACAGTTCTATTGTTGTTTCATCAGACCAGAGGACATTTCTCCAAAAAGTACGATCTTTGTCCCCATGTGCAGTTGCAAACCGTAGTCTTGTTTTTTTATGCCGGTTTTGGAGCAGTGGCTTCTTCCTTGCTGAGCGGCCTTTCAGGTTATGTCGATATAGATACTTTTGTACCTGTTTCCTCCAGCATCTTCACAAGGTCCTTTGCTGTTGTTCTGGGATTGATTTGCACTTTTCGCACAAAAGTACATTCATCTCTAGGAGACAGAACGCGTCTCCTTCCTGAGTGGAATGACGGCTGCGTGGTCCCATGGTGTTTATACTTGCGTACTATTGTTTGTACAGATGAACGTGGTACCTTCAGGCGTTTGGAAATTGCTCCCAAGGATGAACCAGACTTGTGGAGGTCTACAAATGTTTTTTCTGAGGTCTTGGCTGATTTCTTTTGATTTTCCCATGATGTCAAGCAAATTTCAAGGTAGGCCTTGAAATACATCCACAGGTACACCTCCAATTGACTCAAATGATGTCAATTAGCCTATCAGATGCTTCTAAAGCCTTGACATAATTTTCTGGAATTTTCCAAGCTGACTTCTGACCCACTGGAATTGTGATACAGTGAATTATAAGTGAAATAATCTGTCTGTAAACAATTGTTGGAAAAATTACTTGTATCATGCACAAAGTAGATGTCCAAACCGACTTGCCAAAACTATAGTTTGTTAACAAGAAATTTGTGGAGTGGTTGAAAAACTAGTTTTAATGACTCCAACCTAAGTGCATGTAAACTTCCGACTTCAACTGTAGGTAATAAGGTGCTATTTGAGATACACAGCAGCGTCCGTCGACCCTCCAGGACTAGTTTGACCTTAGACCTCCCTGGTATAATGGAACTGGACTCGTCACTCGCTGCTTCTCTCAATGTTTTATGGAGTAGATATAAATATATATTATTATATGATCACATTTTAAAACCACTTATGTGTTGACCTCTAAGTACCTGTGAACCTTTTTGATTGAAAAAAAAATAAAAAAAAAGTGATGTAAAATGTGATGTTTGTTTCATTTTGTTGTGCGTTGTCTTTTTTTTTACGGACCAAAGTTGACACAGTGATGTTTAAATCATTTATATCATCTTATCTCTTTACAAATATAATCTAAATAGAAAACGTGTTAAAACTCAGACCTTTCCAGTGATATCCCCTTTTTAAAAAATAAAATAAAATCACAGACACCTAGATGGTTGAGAATAAAGTTGTCTGAAATGAACACAGAACATGTTAACAGGTAAACTCTGCAGGTCAACATTTTGACATGCCAGTACCAACAACCAGTAGACCCACATCACACACCTTGTCTGTGTCCTTTCGTAGCACCCTATTCCCTATATAGTGCACTACTTTCAACCAGAGCCCTGGTCAAAAGTAGTGTACTTTATAGTGAATAGGGTGCAATTTGGGAGGTAGACCTTGGCCAGGTTTATTTGGGTAAACCAACCCATCCACACCTGCTAGGTACGGAACCCACGGGCGTCGACCACGGCAACACCCAGACAAGCGTCCCAGGACCGCCCCAGGGTCATATTCATTAAGGCACCAAACTGACTGAAACAGGGAGGGATTACCTGAACTTTCTTTTGCTGCAAAACGCTTCAGTACGGTGCAAACTAATGAATACGACCCAGGTAAACAGGTTGCAACGTTGCAACGTTGAGCCCTTCTGAATGCAGCCCAGGTCACAGTATAGAGGTTAAGGGTAAGAGGTCAGAGTTCGGGGGGGAACCCCTCAGTGGGTTCCAGTTTGTGGGAGAGCACTGTGAGGATCTTGTCAAACTTGTGGTAGCGTTCCTCCCTGTCTGCCTCCGCTCCAGCCTGTCCCCAGAACAGCCTTAGGGCAAACTCTGTCCTGAAACACTCCAGCAGCTCTGGGATTGGCTCCCAGTCACCTGACGGGACAGAGTGACTCAGGATGGTTATTAGGTGGGACGAATGTGATTGATTTGGTGATTTGGATGTGTGCCTGTGTGTGTTCTATAATGTGTGTGTTCTATAGTGTGTGTGTGTGTGTGTTCCATAGTGTGTGTGTTCTATAGTGTGTGTGTTCTACAGTGTGTGTGTGTTACCTGTGAGCAGGCTGTGTGCGTGCTCCTGGTACTGTGGGGCGTGTAGCGCAGCGTTGCGTGCTGCCTGCAGGGTGTTGTATAATAACTGACAGCCTCTCTCAGTGTGTTCTCCCTCCTCTCCCTCCATCAGCCTCAGGAGGGGAACCAGGTAGGGCACAGCCAGGGGACCCTGCACCACAGAGTCTACACACACATTACACACACATTACACACACAACAGACACATATTAAACACACAACACACACACACCTTCCTCACCATCTCCGTCATTCAGAGCCTTCATGGAGGGTTTGAGGGTCTTCTCATACATCACAGCGCTCTCTGTGTGGTTCCTCCTCAACGCTCTCCATGTCCTCTCCAGATGGACGACCTACACACACAGGACGGACGTGCACGCACACTTCAGTGACCTTGACTAGTATCTAGGGTCTCCTTAGCGACCTTGACTCGTATCTAGGGTCTCCTTAGCGACTTTGACTCGTATCTAGGGTCTCTTTAGCGACCCTTGACGTGTATCTAGGGTCTCTTTAGCGACCTTGACTCGTATCTAGGGTCTCTTTAGCGACCTTGACTCGTATCTAGGGTCTCCTTAGCGACCTTGACTCGTATCTAGGGTCTCTTTAGCGACCTTGACGTGTATCTAGGGTCTCTTTAGCGACCTTGACTCGTATCTAGGGTCTCTTTAGCGACCTTGACTCGTATCTAGGGTCTCTTTAGCGACCTTGACTCGTATCTAGGGTCTCTTTAGCGACCTTGACTCGTATCTAGGGTCTCTTTAGCGACCTTGACTCGTATCTAGGGTCTCTTTAGTGACCTTGACTCGTATCTAGGGTCTCTTTAGCGACCTTGACGTGTATCTAGGGTCTCTTTAGTGACCTTGACTCGTATCTAGGGTCTCTTTAGTGACCTTGACTCGTATCTAGGGTCTTTTAAACAAAGCATAGTGTGTGTGTATTACCTGAGGCATCTCCAGTGCCTTCATGACGGCTGAGAATGCGTAGAGGTTGTGGGCGTGGTCTCTCAGGGCCTGGGCCAATAGGATGACTTTATGCAACACCGTGGCCCTCTGACCCACTGTCCCTGTACAGCCCAGGATATCTATGGCAACGCCCAGGGCTAGCAGGTGGTGCCTGACGCATACAGAAACACAGTTAGATGTTCATATTTGAGGTGTGTGTGTGTGTGTGTGTGTGTGTGTGTGTGTGTGTGTACCTCTCCAGCAGGTCCCGTCTGAGCTGTTGTCCGTGAGACAGGGTGACCAGCTCCAGACCTGAGCCAACTCCCATCATCCTCCTCTGGTCCTCTGTCACACCCACGATACGAGCCACCTACACACAGACAGACAGACAGACAGTGTGTTTGTGTGAGAGAGAGAGTGTGTGTGTGTGTTTATAGTGCATAGGTGTCTACGTGTGTGTGTTTATAACTATGTGTTTACCTGGCAGTCGACACTGAGAATGTGCAGAGCGGTTGTCATGGCGTTGGAGCGTGTGAACAGTTCTTTGAGCGCCAGCAGAACGGTGGGATCTAGAGGTCTGTTATTTTCTGGTAGCAGGAGGGACTCAAACTGGTCCAGCCTGAAACACGACACCGTCTCCACCTGGTAACATGTTATTAATATATTGATAACATGCTAATAACACGTTACTTCTCAAACTGGTCCAGCCTGAAACACGACACCGTCTCCACCTGGTAACATGTTATTAGTATATTGATAACATGCTAATAACACGTTACTTCTCAAACTGGTCCAGCCTGAAACACGACACCGTCTCCACCTGGTAACATGTTATTAGTATATTGATAACATGCTAATAACACGTTACTTCTCAAACTGGTCCAGTCTGAAACACGACACCGTCTCCACCTGGTAACATGTTATTAGTATATTGATAACATGCTAATAACACGTTACTTCTCAAACTGGTCCAGCCTGAAACACGACACCGTCTCCACCTGGTAACAGCCTGGTAGTAACATGTCTGTATAACTACTACATATGGTTTGTTATTGTGTGGTAGCAGGATTAGATTACATTACATTAGATTAGAGTTCATAGTCTGTTATTCACCGAAATGTAGTCAAACTGAGCTAAAAAAACATCAACTACATCACAATGTTGTTCAATAAACATGAATAGAATCCCCTACATCACAATGTTGTTCATTGTAAATCAAATTAAATAAACAACAACGAACCTGCGGCCTCTGAAAGTGTGAATCCTCCTCTTCCTCCTGGGCCTGTCCGTCAAACGGTAACCCAGGCAACTCCCCGCTTTTCTGTGCCTCCAGGAAGTTGAAGGATGTCTCGGTGAGACGGGCTCTGCTCTGCCACTTCTCCTCCGCACGCAGCCTGTCCACGTGGCCACGCTTTCTGACAGGAAACACACATTAACAGACGTATATATACAGGTCCATAATGACACTCTTGAGGAAGATGAGCAGAAAACACTGTATCCAATAAATAATACAGATACTGAGCTATATTGCTCTTTTTTTAAATAATTATATTCCTTTATACTAGTACAATTGCTCAGAGAAATAGCTTTTGTTTAACAAATAATAAAAATAAAAGATAGGGGTCAACATTATTGGCACCCCTGTTTTAAGTACTCTAGCGCCCTCATCTTGTGAGGATAAGGTCACTGAGCCTTTTTCTAAAATGTTTTATGAGATGGGACAACACATTGGGAGGGATCTTAGACCATTCCTCCATGCAGAATCTTTCCAGGTCCTTGATATACTTCGTCTGCACTTATGGACAGCTGCTTCCTCAAATCAAACCACAGGTTTTCAATGGGGTTCAAGTCCGGAGACTGAGATGGCCATTGCAAAATGTTGATTTTGTGGTTAATTAACCATTTCTTTGTGGATTTTGATTAGTGTTTGGGATTAATTTCTTGCTGGAAGATCCACTTGCGGCCAAATGTAGGCCTCCTGCCAGAGGCAACCAGGTTTTGGGGGTAAAATGTCCTGGTACTGGGTGAAATTCAACTCCTGTACTCATCAGGGTGGACATCAGAGTAGACCAATAGTATTATCCTCTGAAATCATCAGAGTAGACCAGGGGTTCCTAAACTTTTTTGGCCCGCGACCCCATTTTGATATCAAACATTTTTCGCCACCCTGTCACGCCCTGACTCAGGGGACGCTTATTTGTTGAGTCAGGGTGTGTATATTCTATGTTGTGTAGTTCTATGTTTTCTATCTAGTATGTCTATATCTATGTTGGCCGGTGTGGTTCCCAATCAGAGGCAGCTGTCGCTCGTTGTCTCTGATTGGGGACCATACTTAGGCAGCCTATTGGCACTAGTGGGTTGTGGGATCTTGTTCCGTGTGAGGTATGTTGTTTGTGTACCTTGGACTTCACGTTTCGTTTGTTTATTGTTTTGTCGTGTGTTTATTCAGTTTAAATAAACATGTACGCATATCACCCTGCGCCTTGGTCTGACCCGTCTGTAAACGGACGTGACAGAAGATCCCACCAAACGAGGACCAAGCAGCGTGTCCAGGAGCAGACAGCCTGGACCTGGGAGGAGATCCTGGACGGTAAGGGATCCTGGACTTGGGAGGAGATTCAGGCTGGGATGGATCGCCGTCCTTGGGAGGAGACAGTGGAGGCCCGGTATAGAGAGGAGAAACGGCGCCAACAGTGCCGACGACGGAGACCCGAGAGGCAACCCCAAGAAAAATGTTGGGGGGGCACACGGTGTGGACGACGAGGCAGCAGGAGGCCGTTAAAGGGCGGGTCTGCAGGTTAGGAGAGGAGGCCACCATGTTACGGGGGCTATTGGTTCAGAGGGAGCAGGAGTGTAAAAAAAGTAACCAATGTAAAAAAATTTTTTTTTAAAGAATTAACGGCCAAAGTTTACTTTTTTAATTGCCGCTATAACAGTATATAAATCTGAAGGAAGTATATGCAGTGGCGTGTATTCATGGATGCCAAGGGAAGCCAGGCTTCCCCAAAAAATTGACAAAAGAAAATAACACATTATTTTATATATCTTTCATCTCTCTGTTTTCCTTCAATTCACAAGAGGCTGAATGTATCTCACCAGAATAAGCATCCGAGTGAGCGAAACAGCGCCCCTCTGTCTCTGTATGTGTAGCCCATCTATCTGATGCTGTCTGGTCATAAAGAGTATGACATGTTGCCGACCGTACCATTTAATGCAAGTGAAGCCAGCGAGCATTTGGCCTCCCTTGACAAAAATTACACAATAGTAGCCAATCAGTGTTGAATTAAACTGAGTGAGCTCAACTGTGAATGGTCCTCGCGCACCAAGAAAGTGTCAAGTGAAGCCAGTTTGGATTTGGCTTCACACCAATCACGTCACATCAAGCAAAGCGTAATTGACAGAAAGAAATTTGAATTGTTGCTTCTCGTTGTGTTGTTGTCCTCCGGTGGCTAGCTAGCTAAAATTGTCCCTGTCCTAAATTAGCCATGGACGGAGATAAGAATTTGGACTTGTGGTCTTCCTTAATTCTCCGTACTGGCCAATGATTATAACGGCGATTTACATTTACATTTACATTTTAGTCATTTTAGCAGACGCTCTTATCCAGAGCGACTTACAGTTAGTGAATACATATATTTTTTTTATACTGGCCCCCCGTGGGAATCGAACCCACAACCCTGGCGTTGCAAACGCCATGCTCTATCAACTGAGCTACATCCCTGCCGGCCATTCCCTCCCCTACCCTGGACGACGCTGGGCCAATTGTGCGCCGCCCATGAGTCTCCCGGTCGCGGCCGGCTGCGACAGAGCCTGGATTCGAACCAGGATCTCTAGTGGCACAGTTAGCACTGCGATGCAGTGCCTTAGACCACTGCGCCACTCAGGAGTACATTCTGATCCAACCATAAATTCACACATTGTGCCTCTGGTCTGAGAGATGGAAGTTCAATATGTAGCTTGATGTAGACGACTTACGTTGGACTGGTCTAAATTGTTTTTGCAATCTTTTAGTTGTCACTGTATTAGACTAAGCATAGGTGATTTGATGATGTTGAAATGTTGAAGTTGAAATGGTGCTGGAATAGTGGAGGGAGGCAGCTCCTGTTTTCTTTGTGACTTGCGGTAACTCTCCATGGTTCTAAATCAATAGCTGTTTAGTAGTCCAAAAATGTCCGAAATATTAACTTGATTGATCATACTGTAGGTCACGTACATTTTTGTTACATGCAATAATGCTTTATGGACTTCACCAGACAGAGGTTGCTCTCCGGTTTTGGGATGAAACAAAGGTGTGGTTGAATTTATTCTGCCACTGTGTCTTCTTATTGTCTCGGCCTTTAGGCCTATATATCACGGTGGCAAGGCATATGAACTAACAGGTTATAGAGCAAACAACGCAATTATCACAACACATACTGTAGGTTGTAATATGGCATTTATTTTCTCCAGGCTTGGCTTCCCCAGTGATTTTACCCATGCACCGTTACTGAGTATACAGTTTGAAGTGACTGAAATGTATCAGAAAGTTATTGGGAAGTTCAGAAGATTACCAGGCTATAATTTGCTATGATCTTATGTGTAGGAAAGAACATGATCATTGATGATGTTCTTTTTTCCCCCAGTCTGAATTAGTGCCTGGTCTTCTCCACTCTGTTCTAATGAGGCTTGTGGGCATCGTAGAAGGAAACGTGTTCCTGAACGTCTTATCTTTCAGCGATGGGGTCATAATATTTCGTAGCTTAAACCATTCAAAAGATAGAGCTACATTTGTAGGAAGAAAACAGAAACCATCTGATTATTCCAACCGCATCTAACGGCTACCGGAGGTTACTGACGTAACCCTGGTTATATGAACCAAACGCCATTTTTTTACATTTTATTTCAGAGTTTCTCTCTCGACCCCATTTTCAAAATCAGTCGCGACCCCTAGTTTGGGAAAAGCTGTAGACCAATGGTTTCTTCTTACTTTGATTCAGGCACCTGGATGACCAGCTCGTCATAGGGGTCGTCACAGTGACGGTTGGGAGGAGTCCCGGGGAAGAGGACGGAGACTCTGAAAGGTTTGGGCGGGGCTCGGGGGTGCAGCTGTCCGTCAGAACCTCGCTGCGTCACACCTCCACCTGGGGACCACAGGGGGTTACAGAAAGGGTGTGTGAGTGTTACCTGTGTGTGTGTGTGTGTGTGGTGTGTTACCTGTGTGTGTGTGTGGGTGTGTTACCTGGGTGTGAGGGCTGTGTGTGTTACTGTGTGTGTGTGTGTGTGTTTAGGGTGTTGTGTGTGGTGTGTTACCTGGGTGTGTGTGTGGTGTGTTACCTGGGTGTGAGGGCCGTGTGTGTTACCTGGGTGTGTGTGTGGTGTGTTACCTGGGTGTGAGGGCCGTGTGTGTTACCTTGGTGTGTGTGTGGTGTGTTACCTGGGTGTGAGGGCCGTGTGTGTTACCTGTGTGTGTGTGTGTTTTTTGTGTGTTGTGTTACCCTGTGTGAGCGTGTGTTCTGGGTGTGAGGGCTTGTTTTACGTGTTGTGTGTTGTGTGTGTGGTGTGTTACCTTGGGGTGTGTTTGGTGTGTTACTGGTGTGTGTGTGGTGTGTTACCTGGGTTGAGGGTGGTGTTACCGGGGTGTGTGTTGTGTGTTGTTACCTGGTGTGTGTGTGTGTGGTGTGTTACCCGGGGTGTGTGGGTGTGTGTGTTACTGGGTTGTGTGGTGTGTGTGTTACTGGGTGGTGGTGTGTGTGTTTCCTGGGTTGTTGTTGTGGTTGTGTGTGTTTACCTGGGTGTGTGTGTGTGTGTTTACCTGGTGTGTGTGGTGGTTTGTGTTACTGGTTGTGGTTGTTGTGTTGTGGTTCCTGGGTTTGTGTGTGTTGGTTTACTGGGTTGTGTGTGTGTTTGGTGTGTTACCTGGGTTGTTGTGTGTGTTTGTGTTACTGGGTGTGTTGTTGTGGTGTGTTACCTGGTGTGTGTGTGTGGTGTTACTGGTGTGTTGTGTTGTGTGTGTTACTGGGTGTGTGTGTGTGTGTGTTACCTGGGTGTGTGTGTGTGGTGTGTTACCTGGGTGTGTGTGTGTGTGTGGTGTGTTACCTGGGTGTGTGTGTGTGGTGTTACCTGGTGTGTGTGTGTGGTGTGTTACCTGGGGGTGTGTGTGTGGGTGTTACCCTGGGTGGGTAGTGTGTGTGGTGTGTTTACCTGGGGTGGTTTGGTGTGTTTGTGGTGTGTGTGTGTGTGTGTGGTGGGTGTTTACCTGGGTGTGTGGTTGTTGTGTGTGTTTTACCTGGGTGTGTGTGTGTGTGTGTGTGTGTTACCTGGGTGTGAGGGCTGTGTGTGTGGTGTGTTACCAGGGTGTGAGGGCTGTGTGTGTCTGAGGGCTGAGGGGCTGAGCAGGGGTTCGCTACCCGTTCGGAACACTGGGGAAATGGGGGCGGGGCCTACAGCCTCTGATTGACAGCTATGAGGCGCACCTGGAGGGAGAGGAGAGAGAGAGGTTGTGTGTGTTACCTGAGCAGAGGTGGGAACGAGTATGTGTGGTGTGTATCTGTGTGTGTGGTGTATCTGTGTGTGTGGTGGTGTATCTGTGTGTGTGTGTGTATCTGTGTGGTGTGTGTGTGTATCTGTGTGTGTGTGTGTGTGTGTATCTGTGTGTGTGTGTGTTACCTGTGCGTAGGTTGCTTTCGGACTGTGCTGATTGGATCGAGGGTCTTCTGCCCAGATTCTCCAGGTTGGCTGGCTGACTCCCACTCCTGAGAAACACACACGCACACACACACACACACACACACACACACACACACACACACACACACACACACACACACTGTAACTATACCAAACACAACACAAAACAGTCTCTTTGAGTGTGTAGTTTTCTGTGTGTGTGTGTGTGTGTGTGTGTGTGTGTGTATGTATGTATGTGTGTATATGTCTGTGTGTGTGTGTGTGTAAAGCCACCTGAGCAGTGTGTTAGTGACATGTAGTGTGTCCATGTGTGATGAGTTGAAGCTGAGTCTCTTGCTGCGGTCTGGCCGTAATTCCACGCCCACCCTGTGGAGGGCGCTGTTGCTGGAGCTGCTGCTGTCTAGAGGGGGAAGAAAATCATATCTACGCCTGAGTTGGTGAGACGCAAGCCTCCGGGAACACAACACTTAATAATGTAGCTCCACACCGTTTGTCGTTCCGGCGCAGTTCATTCATTAATAACCAATGTTTTGACAGACCGACAGTGTGTGGTCCAGTGGTTTAGTGCCGCGGACTGTCGGCAAACATGTACAGTTTAGGTTACCAGAGTCTGCGTGGGTTCGAACACAACCCACTGCCTCTCTGAGGAATAAACTCCTCTACTTTTCCTGCACCTCAATGGAATAAAACAAATATTTCAACACATAGACTGTGACAGTGTGTTCTATCTACGTCATCTGTAGGTTCTTACGGGTCCCCTCTGCCTGGCGCTCACTGATGACACGTATAGGCAGGGTGCGTGTGATTGGGTGAAAGACCACGGCGCCAGAGGCCTGGGAGACGGGATGCCGTCCACCCACGTGGAAACGCACCAGGGCGGGAATGTTGTCGAAACGATCCCCTTCAAACTGGAACAGCTCGCGGGAATAACCCTGGAGGACACACATCATGATAACACACGCAGATGGACACACGTCAAACCAGTCCCCCTCAAACTGAAACAGAACAGCACACACACACAAACACATACACACACCTTCTTGGGCCGAAGGACCACCCTAATGATCTTGAAGTGCATGGGCTCGTCCTTCCAATAGCAACTCAGGACATAGTCACCGGAGGATGAGCCTGAGTCACGAACCAGGAAGTCACCATCTCTCTCCAGCAGAGCCTCTGCCCCCTAGAGAGAGAGAGAGAGAGAGAGAGAGATAGTGTGAGAGAGTGTGTACCTCTGTGTATAGGTCCATGTTACCAGGTGTGTGAGTACCTCTCTGTGTATAGGTCCATGGTACCAGATGTGTGTGTACCT